GACAAGGTCCTTTTGAAACCTCAAATTTACAAGTCTACTATAATATGTAACTCCCCTCAAGAAGTGCTTATGAAGTAAGCAGAACAGAATAGAGGCCCTTTGAGATTAGCATAGTGGACAGTTGGCCAGAGTCATTACTACCTAAATGATTTGTTTTTTTGACATCAGCCTTGTAGTGTTCACAATTCAACTTTTGAGTTTCAACAAAATTACAGATTAACCTTTGGGTCATTCATGAATAGTTGAATCTCTAGGTGTTAAATACGTAAATACCAAGGGTCCTCTGTAAAGTGCCTGACAAATATTAGGTGGTCAAAAGGTAGCCTATATTTAGAATTTCTGTGTCAGCAGAGGCCTTAGAGAGAATTTTTCCTATCTTCCTCACTTTGTAAGTGAGGTGGCCAGGTTAAGTAATGTGGTAATGATTATCTGGCTGTTCACTGTTGACGTTGCATCAGTCGGTCCTGGCACATAGACCTCTGATATCAGCATCTGTCAGTCCTGGGATTTTTGCCAACAAGTCCCTTGTACTATCTGTTTTGAAGTCTAGAGAAGGCTCTTAACAAAACCAGTTTGTATACTGATTGAGTCTATGCTTATATACACCTTTTCTTTTTAACATTTATTCTAAAACATGAGTCATATGCTTTAGGTTTTTTTCCCACTGCTAGTGACAGGGTAAAGTTGGTGTTCTTGGCTGTTGTGGCCTGGGTGTTTGTACTTTCTCCTGAGGGGTTTCTTGTAGCTCCCCAGTGTGTACCCTATGCCTCAGTAATATCTAATGAGTTATGGCTCCCTGAAAAAGCTATGGTATTTCACATTTCTGTGACTCTGCATGTTATTGCCTGGAATATTCTCTTCCCTCCCCTCCCAACCACTCATCTTCCAAGAGTCTAATGCTTTCTTTAATCCCTCTTAGCAGGGTTCATTTTGCCTGCTTTGATTTACCCTTAACACCTGTTGCATACCTCATTATACCACTATTACAGCACATATCAGTGAATTGCAATACTTTATTTTCACTCTTAGCTTCCCCACTAGACTGGGAGAGCAGTGCTAGTTGTTAACGCTTGACTTGTTTTGTGAATAAAATGACTGAGAAGATTCTGTGAAGTAAAATATGTTTTCTTCCTGAGCAAGAAATTATAAGTAT